AGGAAAAACTAGATTGCGAAGATAGAATAGGAGACGGAGTATGTGGGTAGTTAGGTGTTATATATTCACTCTGCAGAGGCATTCCAAAATTGGAGTCTGGTGTTGGCGGTGGTACATAAATAGGTGGCGGTCTTTGGACTCGAATAGCTTTAATATCTGGTTGCGGTGATGATTCAGAGAAACGTGGTAATGGTGGTAATTGATTATACATTGTGGGTTCTGGTGTCGGAGCTGATGACACATCCGCGTTGCAAGCGTCTGGATATACAATTACTTTAACAGAGTTACGTCTCAAGTTACCCAGTTCTGCTTCAAATAAAATATCATTAATTCCTTTTTCAGCTAGCATACGCTGCGTTGGATTTAGATGCTCTAATTTTTCACTCCAGTATAATGCCGTTNTGTCGACTTTGCAAGGAATTAAGCGACTACGAAAATTACTTTCGGATCTCCACTGAAAGTTTCGACCATATTCTTGAATTAATCAGCCCATATATAACTAAGCAAGATACAGTTATGAGAGCTGCNTTAGGGCCGGTTACTCAATGTCTGGTTAACACTAATCTGCGGTTAAACATCGTTACCGTCGTCTTCGACTCCATGCATATAACAGGGAGTCGGTAACGTCGATAACGATGTTTAACCGCAGATTAGTGTTAACCAGACATTGAGTAAACGGCCCTTAAATGTGCTTCTATTTCACACCAAAGCTACACCTTTTCCAAGAAAATTTGCAAAGAAGCAACACGGTGCTGGTGCTAGGGAGCGGTGCGAGAGAGACAACTGTCAGTTTATCGAACCTTGTATTATTGAATCATGCATCTCTAAAACGTGCATACACGTTTGAAATCGACACTTTGCTAGCCGATTCACTATGTGCCTATAGGCATACCTTATAATATTTCAAAACGGCCAATTTGACCTTCTTCCTCCTATGCTAGATTTTCTTAGGTGTGGAGTAGTTCTTCTTCTTGCGCTTTTAGCACCTCCCCTGAGCCGAAGTACTAAATGTAAAGTAGATTCCTTTTGAATATTGTAACCGGCTAAGGTTCGCCCATCTTCCTATTGTTTTCCTGCGAAAATTAGGCGCTGTTGATCTGGGGGGATCCCTCCCTTGTCTTGAATTTTTGCCTTCACATGCTCAATTGTATCCGAAGGCTCAACCTCAAGAGTAATAGTCTTGCGCGTTAGGGTCTTAACGAAAATTTGCATGGCTGCAGTTCTAAAATCCTAATAAAACAAAAAGAAAATTTTAGGCCCACAAAAATACAAATTAAAAAAAATCTTTATGCAAGTTAAACTTAAATGCATTTCATTTATCCTACTTATTTCAAAGTTCACAGAATGAAGTCTTATACGGTAGACGGGCTCGATTATTTGCATAACCAGCCTTTATTTGCTTTAACTATGCATTTTCCTCTTTAAAATGAGCATAAGCAGCCGAACAAATGCACGAAATTTTTGGGAATTAACTCAGGTCCGGGGAATTTTCGATGTCAACACTGGTAAAAAAGGCCAGTTTTTGTCTTTTGTACAGCCCGCAGAAAGCCGCAAAAGTGACAGCAGCTTGTTTTTATCTGCACAATTATTTAATGAGAAAAGATTCTAATTATCAGGCACCAAATTCCAATGAGTATAATTTTCAATTAACCACCGTACAAAGCAGTTCGGCGCGAAATTCAACAAGATGTGCCAAAACTATAAGAGACAAATTTTGCAAATATTACAATGACGAATATAGATGCTAATTTTTACCACTCAATTTTTATCACTTATGTATATGAAAAAAAAAGAATAATAAAAGTTTTCACTTAAAACAACAGACAATCTACATACTACTTTCTTTTCTTTCCACCTTTATAGCTAGGTATTCACTAGAGTATGAGTAGAATTCAAGGAAATCTTTAAAACAAATTTACTTACCAGGTCAACAGGCTTCTCATTTTTATTTAAAAAGTGAAGAGCGTTAAATGTCCAAGACTTTGGAATATAAACGTCTTCTGTACCAGCTCCGGAGCGCTTGGAGTCAATAATTTTTTTCAATTCCTTGCGATAATTTGATCGTAAAGAATTTATTTTTTTTCGGACATCACCTACAGTGGCGTTATCATTAATTTTTTTTAAGATTAGAAATAATTTCTCATGTCCGGCCGTTCTTTTTATTTTATTCATGTAGCTTTTGGACGAAGGATCCCACAATTCCGACATACTTTCCAATTGTAGGATAAACTCCTTCAAACACCTTTGGTCATTCGTTAATCCCAACACCGCCGGCTGGATATGTGCGCTTTCGTCGTCCGACATTATTAAAAATTACCACTGCCAAATAAATAATTAATCCAATAATTAACGTTTCGCCTTTAACATTTAAATCTCCACTTTATTTTGAAATACACACGTATTGACGTATCGCGAACGAAATATGCTACACGTTCAATATTTATTGACAATACTGCGATCCGCGATCCAGATTTCAAAATTTCTAGAAATTTTGCGATATGGATCACGATCCATCAATATTGCATGCTACACAGTCAATAAATATCGCGATACTTGGATCAGGTCAATAAATATTGATCGGGAGACATGGCCCTATGAGAAAGAAAACTACGGAACCATGTAAGTTCGATGTTATCCATACCAATACATTCGAGTTTTTTTAGCATTATTTCCATGTCGATCGTCTCGAAGGCTCTCTTAAGGTCCACAAACACCGCCAAGATAGTTTTCTTGGAATTCAGGTCCTCCTTCCATTGTGATAAGATCAAGTTTAGAGCTGTTTCGCATGAGTTATTAGCCCTAAAACCGGACTGCTCCTTAATGAGTATTTTATTTGACTCAATATAGTTTAATATTTTATTTTTTACAACCGTTTCCAGTATTTTTTCTAAGTTGGGAAGGGTGTTTATTGGCCTGAGTTCCTCCGATTTTAAGTGTGTTTTTGACCTTTTTTATTGAGACAATGGTTGAAGTTTTCCATTCTGTCGGAACTATTTCCAACTGAAGGCTCTTATTTACTAATAGGGCGTAAAAGTGACCCATGTATTCAACGGAGTCTTTGATTACACCCTCGGATAATAAATTATTTCCACCAATTTTTATCTTGAACTTCTTTACTATATGGATAATATCATCTGTACTAATCTCACAAAATTTTTTTTTTGCGAGCTTTTAGAACCTTAACGACGGTTCTGTTATTTGGCAAGGTTTGAAGACTTTACGATGCCAGGTTAATCAAATTTGGTGCTCTGTAGTAGAGATGTCCTTTTATATGTAATCAATTTTCGTTGTACTCTTCTGTAATCGATTGTTTGGTTATACGTTGAAGTAGTCCAAACAGCTGCTGGCTCATGAATGTGTGTGTTGACGTTATTTCTTTATCTCAGCGTTTGAGACTAATGCTTATATGTTGAGAGAGTCTTTGATTTCTTCTTGGTGGAGGTGACTTGATCAATGCTTTTGTTTCTCCTCTTTGTATCGGACAATCACAGATAAATAAACAGATACGACACAAGACAAACACTATGCTGAAACACAAAAATATATTGACAATTAGTACATAACCTATGTAAAACGAAAGTTTTGTAATTGCATATATACTAAAAAGATTGTTCCTTTAGTTCTTTATACTTTTTTCCATTGTTTTGCAAAAATTTTTTTATTTTATTTTATTTTATTTTTTTGTTCTTGTTATTTCTAGGCGATATTTGTATTTTATTTTTTTGTGTATATAAGTTCATTTTTTCATCATTTTTTTTTTCTCAATACCTTTTTTTTAAAGTGCTTTATCCAGCTCATTACTGTGCAGGAAGTCTACTAGCTACCTATACACCGTGGGGTTTTTTGACAAAAAAATCTGATTGCAGTTATGGCAAGTTAGAAATAGTGGGTTTCCGTTTCTCTGGTTTCTATATTTAGTGCAGTCAAAAATGAGGTGGTCAGGCGTTTCTTTGGTATTGCATGTGTTGCAAGTGTCCGATCTATAATTTAGAAATTTGTTTAGATAAGTTTTGCCATAGGTGTGCCCTGTGGCGATTCTGTTTAGTAGTTTTATGTCGTACGTTTCAAGGTCCAGTTTTTTGTTTTTAAACCATGTCTGTTTTTCTTTTAATGTGCAGAAATTATTTATGTCAGGGTCCCAGTTTGGCAGTTTGTCCATGAATTCTGCTTTGGCTTCAGTCCATAGTATGTTGCTGATTCTTATGAGCGCTTCACAGGGCGTAAGTTTAGGGGGTAGAGATCTTCCATGAACTGTTGCTGTTTTAGCTGCTTCGTCTGCTTTTTCGTTTATCTTTATGCCTACGTGGCTGGGTGTCCAAACTATTTTGATGCTTTCAATACTTGACTGTTGAAGTCTTTTGTGTATTTCCGCTACTATGAAGTTCTGGGTGGTTTGGCTGTTTAGGGCTAGGATTGCTGACTGACTATCTGTAAATATTGCAATTTTTTTATTTCCGCTGTTACTTGCAATGGTGATCGCTTGTGACAAAGCAACTAGCTCCCCGTACGTGGACGTGAAGTTTCCATTCACATTGAAAAGATAAGAGACATTAGTAGATGCCACATATACTGCGCATCCAACTTTATTGCTCGATACCGATGCGTCAGTTGCGTACATATCGTATCCTTCTTCTATCAGAGTTTTGATTTTTTGATTATACAGGGCTTTAAGTTCTAGGGGGGAAATATTTCTTTTTGATTGTTTTAACTCGGATGCGAGGCACATAAGGTTGTCATGTCTACTGAAAGTAACGTTAGTGTCTATATTATTTAAGATTACCTTGAATTTTTCATAAGTCAGGCTGTAGCTAGAATTAGTTGGAGGTCTGTTTGGAATTTGTGTTCTAGATCCGGGTTGAGGAACCACTGCTTGATTAGCTCTTTCGCCGTCAGCCAGACTGCTCTGGACAGTGGTGGGAGTTCGCATGCTATGGCGTATCTCATAAGAGTGGGGGTGTTTGGTGGCACTCCAAGACATCTCCGCAGTGTTTCGTTCAAGCTGGTTTGCAGTTGTTTATTGTATACTTTCGGCGCATTGGCATAGCTGGTGCTGGCGTATTCTGCCTTTGACCGGACAAATGCTTTGAAAAGATTGATTGAAGTTTTAGGTGAAATGCCTGCTTTGATGGACGTTAACTTTGAAATTAGGTTTTTACCAGAAGTTATTGCTTTTTTAACATTGCTGACGTGAGCCTTGATTGTGGAGTTGGCGCTGATTGTCCTTCCTAACCATTTAAAATGTAGAACTTGCTCAATGTTTGTGCCGTTGACTAGTATGTTGAAATCTTGTTTTTTATTTGCAGACATATGCATAAATTTGGTTTTTTCTAAGTTGAATTTTAGATTTAAAAACTGACATTTTACCTGTAATTCTTCAATTTTGTTTTGCAAATTGTGTGCTGCTGTAATTTTATTAGTATTTGTTGATATAATGGCTAGATCGTCGGCAAATTGAAAGAGTTGTGTTTGGGTATCATTTATTTCGTGAAGCTGGGCTGTGTAAATGTTAAAAAGTGTAGGCGATAAACAACTTCCTTGAGGGAGGCCAGAGGTAATTTCAACTGTATGGTTTCCTAAGGTGGGAGTCCTTTTTGAGAAGAAGTTGTAAGTCCAGTTAGCTATTGACATGTCGATGTTATTCTGTAATAAAATATTATAAAGTAAGCACAGGTTGACTCTATTGTAAGCGTTTGACAAGTCCAGAAAATAGATAAAAACATAGTTTCTGCATCTCTTTTTTCCGCTACGAGATGGAGCATCTCGTTCATGCACCTTGTCGCCGATCTCTGTTTACGATATGCAAAACTTTTCTTGGGTAGCAGATTGTTTGTTTCTATGAATGTGTTCAGCGATTCTTTCACCATCATGTTGATGCTTTTTGCCACTACGGGTATGAGCGAAATAGGTCTGAAGTTGTTTATGTCGTCAGTGCTCTTGTTGGCTTTTGGTATTGGGATTACCTTAATTTGTCTCCAAGAATTTAGTACAATTTTGCTATAGAAATGCTCCTTGAGAGATGTGAATAACCCTTGCTTAGACTCCGGTGTAAGTTGCTTTAACATGTTGAGAGTCATTCTGTCTATACCTCCTGCAGTAGATTGTTTTTCAAGATTATTGTACGAAAAGTCGACAACATTGTTACTAGCATTGGTTGCCACGGCGAGGACTGGAGGGGTGTTATTACGGGCGTTGTTGTCTTGTTCCGCTTGGTTTTTAATACGATCAAGGAAATTCCGATCATCTTCGGCTGCACAATTATTTGGAGAGCGTTTGTTTCCTCTGACATTCCTTATAAAGTTCCAGGAACTTTTTGTATTTGGGCAGGAATTGATCTCTTCAATTTTGTTGTTGTAGTTTACTTTTTTTGCTTCCTTCACTGCCTTCTTCCAGTCCTCCGTTGCTATTACCGATGCTTCCATATCGTCTCTACTATTTGTACGGTTAGCCTTTTTCCGTTTAGCCACATGTAACCTATGCAGTTTCTCGAGGTCTTTGTTCCACCATGCTTTAGGTGTACGGTTTGACGTATTTAAGTCTATTTTGATTTTATTCTTAGCCCTATCAATGTCGGATGCCAGATTTTCAAGATTTGAGAAACTTACCTTGGATATTTCCTGAGCAAGTCGCTGTTTGGGTATGAAGTAGTTGGGTTTCTTTCCTGTGTTAGTAATTTCGATGGTGATTGGGAAATGTTTGCTGCCCCCTAGGTGTACTTGGTGACATGTCCACTTTCTACTGTTACTGCTGATGTTTGTAAATGTTACGTCGATTACACTTCCTGTGCTATTGTTGGTGAGGTGGGTGATGGCTCCGTTGTTGACGCACTGTAGGTTTGTGCTGATTGTTTCGTTGACAACTATGTTACCTTTGGCATTGCTTAATCTGTCTCCCCAAGCTTGATGTCTGGCGTTGAGATCACCAGTGAGAATTACATTTTCGTGGTTACTAAGGGCAAGTAGTACACGGTTTAATTCATTAGTAAAGTCAGTCATATTGAGGTTGGGAGGGAAGTAGATATTGCAGATTGTAATGTTACTAATTAAATTAGTTGTTTTAGCTATGAGAATATCGAAATTTGAGATAAATTTGATTTTAGTAAATTTAATACCTTTTTTGAATCCTATTCCTACGCCGCCGTACCCGTCTGTTCTGGTTTTTTTTAATATATTGAAGTTGATTAAATTGTGTTGGGTTGTTTGGTTGTCGTGCGAGAAAATCTCCTGGAGACACACTATGTCAATGTTATTTTTGTAGTTAAAGAAATCAACATAGCTTTTATTAGTTTTTAAACTTTGAATGTTATATTGTAGTATTTTTATTGTTCCTGTCATCTTTGTTTATTGAATTGATGCTATCTATGTCTACCCTACCGATGTTTTGAATTAATTGTACTACTGGGTCATTAATATCAATGTCGTACCTTTGTATTAGTAAGTTAATTAGCCTTTCAATCTCCGTGACTTTTGTCCAGTTTGGTCCTTCATAGATTGGCAGTATTTTTTCTTTTGGTCTTGGTACACTGTTGCTACGCTGTGTTGGTGAGATAGCTTGTGTTATATTTTTTCCAAGTGCATGGCTGTATTTGATTGTTGTGATCTTTCTATTTACCACTTCGTCATTGTTGATTCTTGGTGTTTTTCTGGTTTCTAACCGTGGAAAGTTCCCTTCGTAATTTTCCAACATTGCAAATCTGTTGTTGTTGTTAAGATTGTAAATGCCGATTGCTTCAGGTTTAGATATTTTTTTTATAGTCATAATTTCAACCACTTGTTTCTCTTTGGCCCACTTTGCACATTTATTGCTTTCTAGAGAATTATGATTCTCCCCTCCACATAATATGCACGATTTTGTGATTTCTTTACATGTGCTGTTGCATCCCTCTGTTTTTCCACAGATGATACATCTGTTAGCCGCTTTACAGCCCATCTTCGTGTGCCCTAATTTTCCACAATTGTAGCAGTGCCTGATCCGTGGTATGAAATGAACAATTTTGATTTTAACATAGAAAATCTCTATCGCCTCTGGTAGTTCGTTGCCCTCGAATCCTATCTTAACTGAGTAAGTAGGAATACATTTTTCCTTATCACTGGGATCCCTTCTGGTGATCCTGGAGATTGATGTGATTGGAATATCTGATATTATGTTTTTCCTAATTTCCTCATCCGTGAAGTTAAGTGGAATCTGTCTGGCTACTCCAGTAGTTTCCACTAAACTTCTCGGGATGAAGGGTCTCAATTGGTTTGTTTATTTAATCAGTATTGTCAACACATTTATTTGCTGCCTCAAAGTTTTCGAAAAAAATTTTGTAAAGAGATCTGCCAATTGCTTTTATATTTTTTTGTATGCCCTCAATATCGTAGTGCCTTATCTTGTCCCAAAGGAAAAGACCATTTCTAATTTTTTCATTGTTGATTATTGTGGATTTTGAAGTGTCTACTAAGACACAAAAGTCACCCTTGTGTCTATTTGTATAGCGCGCACTGTCATAATTCTGTGGAGTCCATTATGTTGTCTTCTGTGGTGTTCATTTCCTTGCCTTTTGTCGCGTTTGTATGTTCACTGTCACTTTTCTTGCGGTTGTCGTTTTCATTGTTCTCTCTTTGTTTGTCTGCAGTGTTCGTTAAGTTTTTTGGTATATTTGTCGCGTATGTTCCCCTTTTCACAAGCATTCCCTGTAAAGGAATAGCTATGCCGTTATTATTGTCTGTCTTTGATTTTTTGGTTTTTGCGTAGCGTTAACTGTCTGTTTAGTACAGTCATCGTCTGTCCCTGGGTCGTTACTTGTAAAGTCACCTTTTTCCTTCTTGTTTTTATGCCTTTTCCTTGCACTTACAGTTTTGTTTTTTCTGCCAGTCTGAGCCTGGAGATTGCTTCTGCTCCTGGTTAAGCCACCCGGTATCAGACGCCGAAGCGTCACTCTCCATGTTAGCCGCGGCCAATTATTCACACAGTAAAACCCACCTTTGCCGATTTCTGGATAAAGCACTTGTAGACTATTGGTATATGTTTCTAAGAACTTTTTTTTTTTTTTTATGTAAATGTTACAATTTAGTTTTCTTTGTATAGGAACTTATTCCTAAGTTAAATGTTTACATTAACATGTAACACTGAACACTTGTACAAACACTTCACACACAATTGACGCAAAATTGGTTCCTTCTGTAGAAATCAACCTCCACCTTTTGATGTACGAACGCGAATGCTCTCACAAAATTTAAAGGTCCCTTGACTATTTTCCTGTTGAATCGGATCATAATTAGGGATAAATCGATACAAGTAAATCCAAGTACATACTCGATACTTTTCTCAATTCACCAAGTAGTTTTTTACTCGATACTTTTTACTGCGATCCAAGTAGGTATGGAAAAAAAGTACTTGTATCGGAAGCGCAAAACTTATTTTGCTTCAGCATCTTCTTTAAAAAGCAACCCATTAGAGGAATGTGCACTAAATTTCCGCAGCTATATAAGCAAGCCCGTCTATACGTAACTATTGTTGGGTCATCCGTCCCTTGCTAGAGGCTTTTTTCAGGTACAACTATCAGCCATGTTATAAAATTCGAAAATTTGAAATCGACTCGATTTCGATAATATTTCCGATGGTTTTTAACCCAAAAATTTACAAGTATCGCATTAAAATGATTTATTTCATATCTCTGCTGCTTCTTTTACGGTTTTTAATTAGAATATTCACTCTTTTCATCAGTTACAATTAAAAAACATTTGGCAAATCGAGTCGATTTCAAAGTTTCGAATTTCAGAACATGTCTTGGAAAAGTTGATTTTTTTTGGAGAAATATAAGAGTTATTATTTTATATGAAAAAACTTTATTTATTAATCTTGCAAAAATGTATTCTATTGCTTTTGTATGAAAAAATATTAGAGGATAAATAATCTTGTAAAATTGCATATTTTTGTGCAAAAAATGCAATAAATTTGAAAAATCTTCAAAATCGTAGTTCTTTGTACAAGTACTCGATACCTTTCCGATACTGAGTAGATATCGATACCTTGTTTGATTCAAGTACAAGTACTGATTTGAGTAATACCTTGATGGTATCGATTTATCCCTAATCATAATTAATGTTTTCTATATTCCTATTAATTTCGATGATACTATCAACAAAGAAATTGTTTAACTTGTCAGCGATTTCAGTACTATTGCCATATATTTTATCGTTGATTAGAACTTCTTTGACGTTTTCTTTGTGATCTGTATTATTGACAATATTCTTCAAATGTTTCCACATTAAGCGACCTATCACCTCTATTAATTTCCACCTTGTATTCCATAAATTGTATTTTTTTAATTCTAATCATTTTTTATACGCTTTCTTTATTTCATTGTATTCTACCCAATCACCAGTGATCACTGCCCTTTTGGTCTGTCATACCATTTATTTCTGATTTTGACAATTTAGGAAAACAACTGCTTAAACTGTGCGA